ATTAACACAACTAGGAGACAGCTTCACACATTTTGGATCTCTGCCTCAGGCACAGAACCAGACCTTACAAAAGACTAGCAGAGTTAAGGCCATTCTGATCTCCAGAGGAAGAATATTCCATAAAATGTATGTATGTATCAAAGCAAATAGAATGTTTGTGGTAAATGCTAAAGGTAGGTTAATTTAGTATAAATGTGAGTATAGTTTTGTATTTAAATAATGCCATGTTGTTGATTCAGAACCCAAATGATTTGCAATGAATCTTGATTTGTGTGGGCAGAAAGTATGGATCTGAAAAGTAATGTGTTAAGGGCCAAAGAAGCTGAGTTTGACAGAGTAAAAGAGTGAACAGTACAAGTTCTATATGAACGATAGATAAAACAAAACAAAACAAAGAAACAAACAAAAAACCTGGAGAATTGGAGAAAGATTGTAGGTAATACATAATACATAATCTGTTGTGAGGAATGCATATTTGTCAAAAGAAATAAAAATAACTATGTACTGTATGAGAACCCTTCTGCCCATTTTATTATATGGAATTGAGAGTTGAATGTGTTAAGATATATAGTTAGTATTAATTTGCTTAAGCAATTTGCTTATTTATTTTTCTTTGTGTATCAGATTGTGTATCTTTCACATGGCTTATTTTTTCTTCTTAGCACTTTGCATAAGTTTGCTTACCCAAAAATGGAATTGTGTGAGAAGTAGGCACATATAATTTCTATTTGTTTTTAATATTTTCATTATTTAATTTCATGAAATATATATGATTAGTGGCACTGAGTATATTCAGTGTTAGAATATTTTATGCAAAGCCTTACTTTAAATAACAGATTTCCTTCTATTAATCAATGCCTGCTCTTCTCAATTTTTTACATTTAGCAATAACACTAAAATTTTAAGTTAATTCTATAATGGTTTAATTGTTTTATCTTTTATATTTCTTCTTCTGTGTTAATCTTTTCCTACTATTTTGCAGAACTTGTCTGAATTGATATACTGTGTTTTCCTGAAAGTAAGACCTACCCCCAAAATAAGCTGTAGCTTGACTTTGGGAGGGGCTTAATATAAGCCCTACCCCAAAAATAAGCCCTAGTTTTGGGACAAGGCACACACCTAAAAATCAAGCTAGCGTGGGGGTGGGGTGTGGAGCTACCTATGCACCCCACATCCACTTACCTTGCAGCCAGGCCTCTCCTCGCCGGCCCACTTCTTTTGCAGCATCCCCAGGCCTGCATTTCACAGTCAGAAGCCTTTCCAGAAGGCCACTGCAGCCAAAAACTGAGCTATGGATTCAATCCATAGCTTGGTTCTCAGCTGCAGTGGCCTTCCAGAAAGGCCTTTGACTGCAAAATACAGGCCGGAGTTCCATTCTCAGCTGCAGAATGAAGCTGCTCCTTTGGCCTCAGAAGAAGTGGGCTGCCTGGGCAGGGCTGTCAGTGTCAGAGGAGAGTGGAAAAGACACTCCCCCCCAAAATAAGACCTGGTGCCTCTTTTGGAGGCAAAAAAAAAAAAAAAGTAAGACCGGGTCTTATTTTCGGGAAAATATGGTAGTTTAGTCTAACCAATGATTGAAATTAGTTACTAAAACTGAAATTAATTTGCCTCATATGAAATATAGTACAGTATTACTTTCCCATTTTTAAAGTATTAATGTTGAATCAAAGGCTGACCTTACATTAAGTTACAGTTATATTTTCTTTTTATAAGGGATATTTACTCCAAAATAGACTTCACTCATACTGTTTTTCCCAAAATGATTTTTAGTTTCAAGATGTGTCATGATAGATTCTCTGTAAAGGAATGCATCTTGAAGGCTGTAGGACCAACACTTTATCCCAAGTTATATAAAATGATATGTAAGACTATGCAAACATTGGTGACCCACCCATTAATCATTGTTTCAATTAATAATATACAGGTAGTCTTCGACTTACAACAGTTCATTTAGTGACCATCCAAAGTTACAATGGCACTGAAAAGTGACTGATGGTCATTTTTCACACTTACAACCATTTGCAGCATCCTCATGGTCACGGGATCAAAATTCAGATACCTGGCAATTGACTCATATTTATGATGGTTGCTGTGTACCAGGGACATGTGATCACCTTTTGTAAACTTCTGACAAACCAAGTCAATGGGAAAGCCAGATTCACTTAACAACCGTGTTACTAATTTAACAACTGCAGTGATTCACTTAACAACTGTTGCAAGAAAGATCATAAAATCTTAACAACTGTCTCATTTTGCAACAGAAATTTTGGGCTCAATGTGGTCGTAAGTCAAGGACTACCTGTATTAAACACCTTTCAAGTACCTTATTGTTTCAGACACAAGCCAACATTTACTGCAAATCGGTTGGGTTCTGAATCAACAACATAGCATCATCTAAAGTCAATTGCAAGAATATTAATATTGCAGCACTGTTATTATACGAGGGCAATTTGGAAATAAACCTCCAATAGGTTATCAATGACAGACACTCACAGATACAGAACTTTTATTATACACATTAGAAAACTATAACATTACATTACTTTTCAACATAATCGCCATTCAAACTGAGGCACTTATCATAATGTCTTACAAGGTTTGAAATTCCTTGGTAGTAGTCGCTCGACGCCAAATCTGGGTTGTGGGGGGGGTGATCAAAAACATCCCAATGGAACTGCTTCAAAAGTTCTTGGGTACGTTTAGTGGTATGCGGGCAAGCATTATCATGAACCAACACCACACTGGAAGTCAGCATGCCCTGACGCGTGTTATGGATGTCTCATCTGAGTTTTCGTAACGTTTCACAGTAGTCTTCTGAACTGATGGTCAAACCACGCTCCATGAACTTCACTAGCAGTACTCCTTTGGCATCTTCACATTTGGAGGGATTTTCTATGGCACCACTTCCAGTGTGGTGTTGGTTCACGATAATGCTCATCCGCACACCACTAGATGCACCCAAGAATTTTTGAAGCAGTTCTGTTGGGATGTTTTTGATCATCCCCATAGCCCAGATTTGGCACCAAGCGATTACTACTAAGGAATTTCAAACCTTGTAAGACATTATGACAAGTGCCTCCATTTGAATAGCGATTATGTCAAAAAGTAATGTAATGTTGTAGTTTTCTAATGGGTATAATAAAAGTTCTTTATCTGCAAGTGTCTGTTAAGTGTTTATATCCAAATGGAGTTTATTTCTGAATTGCCCTCATATTTGCCATAACACATGATAACTGATCTGGAATTTGACAAGTTAATGAAGTTTTTGTCCTGTTGTCTATATAACTGTAACACTGGAAGAGAAAAGGTTGTTTCTTATGACTACCTGTCTTTTGTCCCAAGGCAAAATTCTTTACGTATTATTGAATTGTTCAGTACAATTATTATAGCAGCTTAAATTCTTGGTTCATCTAACCGAGATGTAGGCATTTTATGACCTGTAGGCAACATCCAGCCATTTGGCTGTCCCTATCTAGCCTATGGTGGTGGCAGGGGGGCAGTGGTAGCATTGAGAGGGCGCTGGTGGCCAGGTGTGGCAGGGGGACAGCATGGGGGGCAGGTCAGCAGCCCTCCACAACAGTCTCAGTTTCTCATGTGGTCTCTTGGGAAAATTAATTGCCTATCCCTGATCTAACCACACTTTTACTGAATATCATTTTTTGAGGAACTTCGGTAGATATAAAATAAAATCTGGGAGAACTTAAAACAACAACTGAAATATAATGCAGTAAGATGTAATGCAAGTGCATCATAAAGATATCTATCTATTTCCTCTTTAGAAAGTCTTAAGGGAAAAATATAATTACATTATTGTTTCTATTATATGTTATTTAGGTCACTTGCTCCTAAGTACTGGAATTTTTACAACAAACACTTAAAAGCATTTTTTTAAAATAAGGCATTTGATTATTGTATTTTCCTTCACCTTTAATCTTTCAGATAACATATAGTACGTGGAAAAAACACTTGTCATATTTGTTACCGTTTCATATACATTAAAAGATTTCAATTTATTGATCATTCTTCTAGCATCTAGCTCATTCATGTACCAATGGCTAAATTTGAATATTTTCTGTGTCGATTCACTGTGAGCCAATGTGAAATCATTAATCTGAGGAAATTATTTCAACTTCCCTAATTACTATCACCTGAAAAGTCTAAAGCAATTCACGATATTAAATTGCACTTTGGTTAACGCGCGCATACATACACAGACACAAACACACACACACCAGCCTAGGTTTGTTATGTCTGTTTGTTGACTGTACATTCAAATCAACTTTGAAATCAACTTTATTTGCAGGCGTTGCAGCCTTCCATGAGATGATTCCAAATAGTCAGCTGTGATCTGTGTCGATGATAAACCCTCCCCTCCTTCTCCATCAGATTTTCCTAGCTGGTGGTGGGAAAGTAAAAGGTTAAACCAGAGAAACTTGGAGAGGGAGAGGGAGAGAGAGAAATGAAGGGAGGAACTGACAGGCTGGAAAGAAGGGAAGGGAGGATCGTAGGCTGCGGGTGAGGCTTTGAAAGTCAGCCTCTCAGGCATTGCAGCAGAGCCCCGAATCAGGGAGAAACGAGGAGGACATTTACACACAGAGACTCCCGATACCCTGTGGAGAGGGTGAGGGCAGCTTCCTGAAAGGGCATTGTGTAGTTGTGTGAGTGCAGATATGTCTATGTGCGCTTTCGTAGCGGCGTTGGAGGCGGTGGCTTCATGAGTTGCTTCGCCGAGCGGGCGCTTTCTCCTCCCCTTCCCTTCCATTAAGCTGCCACTCGTCGGAGCTCCCCACGCTAGAATTAACTGTCTTTTGAGTTCGCGTCCGCTGGTCACGGGGCGGCCTTTGGAGCAAGGGGAGGTGCGCGCGCGCGCTCGCTCGCGCTCGGAGCTCTCTGACGGGCTGCGGGCAGGCGGGCCGGCGCTCGCTCCAGGCAGGGTTGCTGCTGCTGCTGCTGCTTCCTGAGGACGGCAATGGTAGTCGCGGAAACGGCCGGCGGGAATGCTACGAGCCTCATTTTGGGAGGTAAGCGCGAGGGCCCCGGTTGGTTTTTCCCCGGGGGAGGGGTACGGAAGGGCGGGGAGAAGAGGGCGAGGACGACGAGGAAGAAAATGGAAATGGCCGCGGCTGAGGTTAGGGACTCCGGGGGGGTAGAGCGAGCTGGAGAGGCGCCGCTTTGGCACCCTGACAAGAAGCGGAATCAGGGAGAGACTAAACAGACGGATGGAGTCGTGGGGCGCAGGCACCGGAGGAAGAATTGGGCAGGGGGGGGGGGTACCTCGGCTCTCTCAGGATTATTTCCGGTGGAACCGGTCAGTTTTTTTTTTCCCCTCTTCTCTTTTCCTCCCCCCCCCCACACAAGGGGCTATATAAATAAAGTTTGGAGGCGAATTGGGAAGGCAGGACAAGCAAAGTTTGTGCCCCCTGCCCTCTGCCTTCCCAGCCTGATTGCGTGTGGCGGCTTTTTTTAAATTGCTCTTTCTTTCGCATCCTCCCTACTTTCCCTCCAGCCTTTCTCTGAATTAAGAGAGCCCACGAAGTCTTGTGCGCAGTAGCTGCAGTTCCACCAGCTGCTCCTCTGCGGATTTAGAGCCGAGGCAAACCTTGGCGAGCTCCTGAAGACTCAGCCCTGTTCTTCCCACTGCCTCTGAAGCTACCGTCTCTTCTTTAATTGCAGGCACAGCCGCTCTAGACAAGGCCATGCCTCTTTTCTGCCTGGGCTCACCTCTCGTTATTTATTCACTTCCTTTCCATTGGCAAACGGAGATTATATGCACGCTTGCATGCATGCATGCACGCACACACACACACACACAGATGTTAAGATTTTTGTTCCCCGTTCGACCTGATCTTCAGTAACAGCTATTTTCGAATCACTTAGTTCAATAACGTGTCCTCACTTTCTGTCTACTTTCTACTGTTCCAAGCTCAACCATGTCTTGTTGCACCATTTACCTCTAGGGATGATTTTCTTGACCAAGTCTTCTTCAGAAATAACACGGAGAAAATGGTAACATCTCTATAGGTTTTGGGGTTGTGCTTACTAAATTTAATGACAAACCGTTGTGACTGAAAGATCACTGGGAGTGGGATTAAGAAACTTTTCTAAAGTATGTAGTGTGTAATGACTTGATAACATTGTCAGCCTTAGCACAGACTGCACTAGTTATAAAGTTGTGACATTAATAAATATAGAAGTGCAGTATGTGGATACTGTAATGTATATTCTTTTTCAAAACTCTTTTTCTAAATATGTAGTTTATTTACCAAACCAATTATTTCTACAATACCGAGTGGCATTTTTTTGGGTACAAAGCAGATGAAGTGTCATGCATATAATTCACAGAGTTCACAGAGAATATAGGAGTAATTCAGCTTTTAATTTCAGCTTGATTTTAGAGATGAAGATTGCTCTTTATTCTCTGGAATAAAGCCTGTTATGAAAGAAAAGATGAATGAATTTGTGTTTAACTTTTAATGGATTATAGCTCAGTGTGACATATGTCACACTCTCAGTAGACTAGTTAAGCATGTGTGATCTGAATAGGCAATGTGCTTAATAGCACAGAAGTATTTTGTATGTTTCCAAGTGTTCATATTTGTTCTGCTTTTGCTTTCTGTTTGTCCCTTTGTTTTTTTAATCTCTCTTTTTAAAAAGTTTTTGACTTATTTTAATTTTTTAAGGAATTCAGGAAGGAACCTCTTTTTATATAAAAAGAACTAAAGCATTGGTTTATGGAAGATGATAAGAAAAATATTGGTAGAGTAGTGGCTATTTTTAATTATTGTGAAACAAATGCAGAGTTTAGATGGAATAGTCACATGATAAAAGTCCCTAAATTCAAAAGCAAGGTGTAGACAATTATTTGTGTTTGAGAAAATATGATTTGATTTTTAAGTAAATTCCCAGGCACAGACTGATCATATAAAAATACACATGTGCATTATCAATAAAGGTGTGGCACTGAGAATTAATGGAATGTGTTAAAAGACCTGCACTTACTTAGTGAATTCCAGATTCTTTCAGTTGCTTGTATTTGCTCACTACTTAATAGGTATAGGATTTAGCATGATTAATTTGGACAAACATCCTGTGCTACTTTTTGGGCATACTTTAATTTTTTCTTCATAATTGGAATAGGATTAAAGTACATACAGTACCACCTTTATTATAGTAATAGCAGTAGCACTTAGACTTATATACCGCTCCACAGTGCATTATAGCACTCTCTGAGTCGTGTACGATGTCATTATATAACTTTACTAAACCAGGATTGCTAATTTCTCTCCCTCCCTTTTTTTTGGTGGGGGGGGTAAAAGTAAAGATAGAACTGGTCACAAGGCTGCCTTTACATTTCTTTGTAGACTTGCATGGCACTATTTATCATTGTGTGGATGCTTTTTCACAAATTATCAATATTAGTTCCTAAAATAATATTTACATTAAATAACCCTGCACTATAATTTTCAGAAAAAAAGTGCCAATCATTTTCAAACTACATAATTTAATGAATTAGTGTAGGGTGACACTGTAATCAACAGATGTTGAAATATGAATTTGTTGAAATATCAAGTTTTTTTATTCATATTGTTTTCCTAGTCATTTACACATTATTATAATTTTTTGTGTGTGTTTGGATTCCTACAAATTCCTAAAACGCCTATGAATTCTAAAAAAAAACCATGTCAAGTCAAGCTTAATTCCTGTGACTAACCAACACATCCATGTTGTCTTGGAAACAATACATAGATCTATAAAAGAAACCTCATTGCTTTCCTCTAGAGGATCTTTTTTTTTCAATTTCCCAATCTTGTCTACAGTACTCAGATTACTTGGTGATCTCCCATCCAAGTATTAATTTTGTCTTATTCTCGTTATTCTGATCTTAAACAATAAGATCACCAAGAGGTGCTAGATTCTACCAGCAATGGTGGTATGGATTTTAAAACAGTGTAATAATTAAAATAAATGTTTTGCCCAGGCTGCTTTTTTACAAATATATCTGCCACAAAAAAATTGAAACATTATTTTAAAAGTGTGAGATGCTTAAAGGTTGATTTGGATATGTTGATGTAGATAAGAATTCTTATTCTGTCTTTATTTCTAGTGAAAACTTAATTTCAATATCCGGGTCAAATGTATACAGCATAATTTTTTTGATTTTCTGTTTAAAGTTTCCATTAAATAATATGATTACTCTAAAGATTTTTAAAAATGTAGATGAAATAAACATGCATTGAGGATTGACAATTAATGGAATCACTTATAATAAGGATGGCGGTGGGGGGAGTGAAAGTTCTTTCTCTGATTAAATTCTTAGGAAATCCATTTAAATTAAATTAAATTTAGATTTAATTAATTTAAAATTAATAATTGCACTGGTATGAAATTTCCTTCTATAAGTGATACCAGCTTCAGTAGATTTTCCTCAGAAGTGTGGAGAAAAAATAGAGAAAGAGGTTAGATTGTCGATATATAGAGATATAGATGCTCTGAACTTGTAAATTATTTCTCTTTATCAACTGACATAATGTGCTATTTAAAATCTACAAGTTAAATGCCAAAAACATTTCTTACCAAATCTAGTTGGCTTTCAGGTTAGTGATCTCTTTTATCAATTCTCTGCTTCCAAAAGTGACATTCAAAACATTGATCAACAAAATGATTGATGCATTTTGCAACAGATGTGGAAAATACAAAAAACTATTTGATTTTATATAAATTTCCTGGTGTCTTATTTGTTGAATATGACAGTACTGGTGATATTATGTTCCAATATAACAAATTTTAAATCATCTAAGAATACCAAGATACAATAGGGCTAGGTGCTATAGAAGTTTTACTTAAAATTATGAAGATCTGAAAGATGCTGCATAGTCTTGGGTGGAGATACTGCTTCCATTAAATCAGGGTTGATACAAATAATTTATGATCAATGCCACTGTTTCTTTGTTAATTGTCACCAAAATAGACTTTGGCCATTTTAGAATGTGTTTCCAGTTTATAGAAGAAGAAGTTAATGCCTTGGAATTTTTTTAGAATTTCAGTAAAAATGTATTACAATGCAAAGAAAAAGTTATTAGATACAACATTAAAATTTACCACATGGAATAATATTGATGTCTTTCTACTATATTGATAAAGAGCCAGTTCAAATAAACACACATCAATTCACAAGTATGCATTCAGAGTCTTTCCATTGTAACAAAACATTATCTATTGTAACATTGCATGCTTTTGTTGCTTTCTTTTTCCTTTCCCCTCATTTTTTTTCTTTATATGTTTTATATAAACATAATAAATAGTTCTATATAGCCTCCCTAAAATACAAAGAAATGTCAGCATGCAATTGCTGATAAATGTCCATGATTCCCCCAGCAATGTGACAAGGCTTCCTTGAACCTACAAAATTTAACAATAATTGCTTATAATAAGTTGAATATTCTCATGTTCTAAAAGGTAAAAAAGGCAACACTGTTCAGTGTTATAAACCAAACACTGAGCAGTTTGCTCAGATTATCTTAAATGTATATTTATCTGTCACATTTTATACTGTAGCCCTGTACAGTGCCTAGTTTTGTAGACATAAGCTCCATTGAATTCAGTAGGACTTAGCTTTTGTGTACAACTTGTATTGCTTCAGAAAATTGCCAATTTATGGAGTTAAGTGATTTAGACAAGTAATTGCGTCTCAGATTCAGACCATACAGAATTCTTGTATAAGTTACTCTTGAAAGGAAAAGGTTCTCTTTTCCTGTCCCCTCCCCTCCTCCTCCTCCTCCTCCTCCTCCTCCTCTTCCTCCTCCTCTTCCTCCTCCTCCTCCTCCTCCTCCATAAATAGTAAGAATCAGAAATGTAATCTAATTATTAAAATAGAGCAAATATATCTTAATAAAAATAGTTTAAAAAAATACCACTCTGACTTTTTTTAATGCTTGTCATTTTGTTGTAAATATACCTGTTCTATAAATTGAACCTATAGCTTTATTTTTTCATAGCAAACTTTAAAAAGAATTAAAATGAA